AGAGGTAAAAGTTTTTTCCAAGACGGCAGCGTCAGCCGCCATCTCGTATACGCAAGCCGTGCTGCAAGAATTATGTTCTGTTTTATACACTTTGGCCCCGTTTGGTTGCTAAGATAAGCCATGATTAACTAAATAGTTGGACTTAATTTGATGTTTGGTATCCTCAATAACTTACCGGGTCGACCCGCCAAAATTATATAATCATGGCTTATCTTGCCTTATCTTGGCTTATCTTGCCTTTTAATGAGTTTTTTTTGTTGGATCTTTCAAGCTACAATAAAATAATTGGGTCTCATTAGATTATTTAATCTTATCTTGGCTAATCTTATCTTGCCAACCAAACGGGGCCTTTATGTTTCATTTATATACTATCTTACTTTTTCTTCACGCATAAATTCCACAATCCCAATCAAGAAACACCACATCACAAAATTACTCATGCACTACACTATTGTGTATTGCTTACGCACCTAATAACATGATCACATAATCTATTCTTTTTTTTTTTCTTTTAAATAATGTTTGGGGAAAATGGACAAATTTTGTGATTAATATCTAAATAAAGAAAAAAAAGAAACTCACAGTTACATATGTGCACTGACTAAACTAAATTTTCGTTGATAACCCTCGAATCACAAGAAAGGTGAAAAATATATTGGACAAGTTTTCTACGATAAACTCGATCTAGAAAGCGTTGGTCAGATGGAAATAAAAAAAAAAAAAAACACTTTTGCATTCACAAGCAAACAACCGATTTGGTTTAATTAGCTGTCGTACAATTATATAGTTAATTGACATTAATGAAGCACCTAGTTGCTTTATCATAATTAATTGCTTGGGACCTTTAACCATAGTGTTGGCAAACTGCAGTTTAATTACTATATAAGAGGGCGTTTGCCTACATTTTAATTAAACCATAGAACATCTTCCAAACTTATATATAGATGTATATTTTTTATTTAACAAATTAAATTATCAAAACAACTAAAAAATTGCATCAAATTCATCTCTATTTATTTTATTGTTTAAGTAATTGTTTATTTTATTTTTTGGCAATTAATTAACTTATAGTATTAGAGTTTTCTGCAACAAAATGAAGTAAGTATTCTCTTAACAAAGAGGTTTTTATGTTATTTTAATATTACACAGTTAAACCTTTATAAATTAATATAGTCAGGACTAGCAAAATTCAATTAATTTAGCGAAACATTAAATTACCGAACTAATAATTTAGTAGGTTTTCACCAAGTTGAGACAAAAAAAAACTATTATTTAAGCGAGATTAATAATATGTCGAGTATTAATTTATTGAGGTTATACTATACTTCACATTCTTGTATATATAAATCATTAGAACAAAGATTAAAGTTTGTACATATTCACTAATTAATTAGTCTCACACACTAAATATATAGAGTAGGGATTTTTTAGGGCAAAATGACAGTTGTTAGTGGAATTTCATATTTAGCTAATTAATGGCAGCTTTGAAGCTCGAAAAACCGTAGCTCGAGTTTAGGGTTTGTTTCAGACACCATCCTGACCGTTGCCCGACATTTGTGCTCTAGATCTCTCCTTCTCTACACATTCACTCACAAACATGTTTTACACACACACACACACTAAACTCCTTCTATATATATATTCTCACTCACAAACATGTTTTACACACACACTCAAACACCAGCTTCACCTTATCAAGAATTATATTTTTCCAAAGAAAAGAAGGGAAAAAAAAAATACAATGAGCAGCTTCGATTCTCAAAGGCAAGAATCCATAAAGAGAACGAACCATTCGACGACCAATTATACCGCCCCACCAAATTTCCAAAATTACAAACTAGCCCCAACAATTAATATTCCAGTCTCTTCTTCAAACCCTAAAACCCTGCTGCAATTACCCGCATTTTCCGGGGGGTTCGACGGCGACCTTGTGGCGGCGGCGGCGGTGCCTCCGGTGACGGTGGTGCTGGAGGGCCGATCAATCTGCCAGCGCATCAGCCTCCACAAACACGGCAGCTACCAGAGCTTGGCGTGGGCACTCAGACAGATGTTTGTGGATATAATTAATTACAATAATACCGATATTAGTAATAATGACGGTATTATTAATAATCTTGATATTTCGAATGCTGTTCCGGGGCATCTCGTTGCGTACGAAGACATGGAAAATGATCTTCTTTTAGTTGGTGATCTCAACTGGAAGTAAGCACATATCACTGTTATTAGCATTAATTATTATATTAATACCATATATCAAAATTTTAATTTTCCGATTATTATGAATCTTGTCTTACGATAAATAAGATTAATTATATACACGATCGTGCATGTATATTAATTAATTATATTATAAATTATTGGAGATCTGAACTGAAATTCTTGCAGGGTTTTTGAGTTATGTTGAATATGCTAATATGTATTTAATTAGGTTATTTTGATGTTTGCAGGGATTTTGTTAGAGTGGCTAGAGATCAGAATATTGCCAGCAAAGGCGAATTCAAGGAAGAAGAAAGATGGTATTATTAATTGATTATTTAGATTGCAATGAAGTATTTTAATTTGTTTAGATTAAATAATCCAATTTAATTTTATTTATAAAAAAATATTTTCAGTCTTTACCTATCCTAAAGGGGCAACTCACAAGCAAGAATATTTTGTGTGAAGATCTACCATAAAATACTACCGATCTAATTCACCCAGTGTAGCATAGATAAGACTGTTAACGAAGGTTCTTCTATTTGCTAGCAAAATCTATTTTTTTACGGACGCAAACGCTTTAAAAAAAATAACTAAAAAAATTACGACTACAATTCTATCATAATAATAAATCCAAACCATGAAGTCAATGATATAAAGCAAATGGTCAAACTCAAATCCAACATTTGTGTTCGAAATCCATGAATAAATAGATAGTAACGAAGGAATTTCGAGGAAAAAAAAGGGTCTTGGCACAAACAAAAATTCTTATCCAAGACAACTTTCCTCCAATAGTATTATCTAATTTTAATTTTAATAATAACGAACTTGTAATCGCAACAAAAATCAATCAACGCATGATGATTAACTTGCTGGTTTATCGAAAGGAGGTAGGCCCCACTCACTTGGATTGAAGTCCAAAAGGGAGCTTATAACCTGATCGGCAGTTTCATGATATGAGCTATCCAACCTTGGATCTGGAACCATGATCGCTGACCTGCATCGTAAATTCAAATACAATTATTACTATTAATATAAGAAATCAGAATTTACATTCATTAAACTATCATAGAGGTATAATCTATGATAAGCAAGGACGACTTACATGCCAGCATTCTTAGCTGCTAGGACGCCAGCTGGCGCATCTTCGAAAACGAGTATCTTTTTTGGATCAACTGGTCCGCCCTGCAAAAACGAGCGAAAATCATGAATACTAGTTGAAGAGTGATTTGAATTATTTGGCATTTTTTTAATTATATAGCAGTTAAATATAAGAATAATACCTCGAATCTTTTGGCGGCTACAAGGAATACATCTGGCGAAGGCTTCCCTTGTTTAACTTCTGGATCATCGCCACGTACAATATGATGCATGAGTGAGAAAAGTTCGCCGTGTTTTTGCGTTTTCAATTGAAAATGCCTCGTGTGGGAGCTGTAATAAGACGCATTAAATATAATATCAACATCCATTAAATCGGCCTGCTAATTCCGAAAAATAAGAAAAATATTGCAAAATACCTTGTTGCGACACAAATAGGTATTCCATTCGCATGGAGGTGCTGAATCAAACGACTGGCCCCTGTCATACAAAGGATTAATTACACTAAATTAATAACGGAAACGAGAAAAAAAAAATCACTAGAACTTGTTTTAAATTCGAAAGTTGTGAAATTTTAATTTAGGGAAATTTTCTAATTATAAGAAACCTGGCATGAGTTCACATGCCGGGAACATAGTCCGCAGCATATCTTCTCTTTCAACAAGAAATTCTTCGGGTGAGAGTAAACCATTGAGTCCGGTTTCTTCAACAAAAAGTCGAGCAGCTTCGATTGCCTTCATCCCCATCATTTTAGCCTTGAGAGACCACTCAAATGTTTTATTGTACCTAGCTAGAATATTCTCCTGGACTTCACCGTACAATTTCTCTGTATCTGATAAAAAAAAAAAAAAAAAACTCATCGGTTTCGACTCAAGATCAGAAGCCAATAGTTTGTTCTATCAATTCATCCGGTTCAATATCATATATATAATGTGTATGCTTGGATACTATCAGTGCATTCAGTTTACTCTAACAATGCATACCGATTACCGAACAAAATCGAGCGATTTCTTAACAAAAGGAATCAATTAGAAGCAACTGAATAGAAAATCAATGCTGAACTATTTTCCAGATTATGCACACCAGAAGAATAATATGAAGCAATTCTGCAATTGTACGGATAAACTATTCATCAACAAAACCATCAGAAAAATTTAATCAACCCACCGAAAACAACATAAAATCAAATTAGGTTTCCGAAACTTGTTCAAAAATAGACATTGGGAGATAAAATTAAATTAAATTGAGCGAATAATTTCAAAAATTTGGAATTCTATAATTAACGGCGATTACCGAGTAAGAGTCCGTCCATGTCGAAAACAACGTGAGTAATTGACGGAGCATCGGCGGCGGCAAGGCTACATTTATTCGCCGCCATTGGAGCTACACAGTGAGCTGGAGATCTCGGATTCTTCGGAGAAGAGAGACGAAGGAAGAATTTTTTGTGAATATTATTAAATTTAATATTTTTCGTAGAAGAAGTTGATTCACGATGTATTGCTGATGCAGAGTTGTGCGTGCTTGATATTGTAACAATTTGATTACCAGAATAAATTCTCTGTTGGGTAAACATGTTTTCTACACATCTGCGTTTATAATGTGTTAGTATTTATTAATTAATTAATAAATAGTAGGGACTAATAGGAGTGTTTCTCAACACTCCTTTATATTAGATTTAATTAAATTCTTAAATTAAATAATTAATATATATTCTGACCAATAGCATAAAGTCCAAATCAATATCAAAGATTGTAACTTATCTTCCAAATCGTTATAGATACGTTGTGATACCAATCCATTTTATTAAATGTCTCAGGTTATCAAGCTAGCGACTTTTACCAATTTAATCCAAATTTATTTTTGTAAGTGAGGTATACATGTTTTTTTAAAAGTTTGACATCTTAAAAAAATATTATATAGCATGGGTACGGAAACGCAGATACGGAGAAACGGGAAAATGAATACTGAGAAATATTTAAATTATAGGGGCATATTCATAATTTCTGAAAAATATTATAATATTGTTTAACTTAAACGAATTGCTATTTGCTGTTTGAAAATTGCTATTTGCAGTTTATAACAAAACCCCCTAAAAAAATACTTTATCTCTCTAAAACCCCAAAACTTTTCAAAAAAATCAACCCCCCCCCCAAAAACGCGTAAAAGCCCAACTTGGGCGCCCATTCATGCAGTGCACGCCCAAGTTGGGCGTGCAAGCTGCATTTGGGCGTCCAGTGCAAATTTTTTTTTTTTTTTTAATTCAACGCCCAAGATGGGCGCCCAAGGCGTGTACGAACATTTTTTTTCGAAAAAAAAAGCCATACAAATCGATTTGTAGGGCTTTTTAATATGAAATTGGTTCCGTAATCGACCTACCCAATGCATATTACACATAAAAGAGTCGAAATTACATCAAAAAATCGAAGCCCAACCCTTCTTCAAGCTTGATTTCGAATTTTCGATTTTTTTTTTTTGCTATTTGCAGTTTGGGGGGGGGGGGTTTTGGATATTTTTTAAAATTTTAGGGGTTTTGTTATAAACCGCGAATAGCAATTTTGTGACCGCATATAGCATTTCATTTAACTTAAATGCATTCGTTAATTACGTATTTGTATCTACAGACTGTATATATTTTTTTACAGATTCCAATCTAAATTAGCATTCCACAAATTACATTGAGAGCATATAAATTTATGTTAGTGGAACTAGCATCTACAAAAATTATTAGAACACCACTAGAATTGAAAAATAGAGAAAAAAATGTTTTACACGTATGCAATTCCGAGTTTTTATTTAAAATGGATTTTTGATTTTTCTTTTTGGTGGAAAAGTATTTTCATTTTTCATTATTACTAGAAACGTCCCCGAAATTTTTAAATATTTATGAAAACAACCCCGAAACATTTTCGACTAGTGTCATGATGTTTCGGTTTCCGGAACGTTTCCGAAACATGGAAACACATGTGACTAGAAGTTTCCGTGCATCATAGCAAAAAAATATTTGTTACCGTTTATTTTTTTATTGAGAACGAAAATATGCCTACGATTTGCTCAGCGAAAAGATGCACATGAACAACTTTCAATTAATAATATATCGAAATCAATCAAGCGAACGAACATCAATACACGATTAAGACAATGATTCGTACTTGTCAAGATAGTCGATAGAGGATGCAAGACAACCAATTTCCACACATCAAAATTTCAAATTACCGAACTGTTATAAGTTCTAACTCACATCCAATTTCTTTGTTCGAAATCTATAAACAAAGAGAAATACAAAATGGAATTTCGAGGGAAGAAAAAGGGTGTCGGCACGAACAAAAACTGTTATTCAAGAAACTTCACTCCAATACTATGATTAATCTTAGTTTGAATAACAATGAATTAGTAACTGCAACAAAATTGCACTGTCCTTTCCAAATTTATATAAATAAAACATGAATTACATATTTCAGACGGGGTTCAATCCAGAAACGATGATGCTGTTCTAAATCAAAGAATGTATGCATTTAAGTTGGTGGTTTATCGAAAGGAGGTAGGCCCCACTCACTTGGATTAAAGTCCACAAGAGAGCTTAGAACCTGATCAGCAGTTTCGTGATAAGAGCTATCCAGCCTTGGATCTGGAACCATGATCGCTGACCTGCATCGTAAATTCGAATACAATTATTACTAAAAAACCCGTAATTCATTTGTTAGGAGAAAAAAGGGTAAATTACAAAAAACTATTATTTGAGGTTTACTTTAATTATAGGAAAAAACCAACTCGAAAAATTATGAAAATGCCCTTGAGAGAGTACAAATACCTCCCTTGATATTTGTTTTACAAACACCCTTCTTCAAGTAGGTGCAATTGCAAGATTAACAGGAAAAAATGTCAAGGGGGTTATTAGTAATTTACGAGCTGCTTCTTCTTCTTCTTTTTTTTCTTTTTTTTCTTTTTCATTTGTAACAGGTTAAACCTCAAGATAATATTTGTAATTGACCTAGAAGAATATCATGATAACAAGCCTATTTTTTCTGCTTCTAAAGCTGAATTAGGCTTCGGGTTTTCGGGTTTCTGTTTCGGTTTTGGTTTCTGGTTACGGGTTTTCGGGTTTCCGGTTTGGACTTTTCGGGTTCTGGTTTCGGTTTTCGGTTAGGTTCCGAGTTCGGGTTTCCAGTTTCTGGTTTCAGGTTTCCTGTTTCGGTTTGGGTTCCGGGTTCCGGTTTCCGTTTTCGGGTTTTGGGTTTCTGGGTTTTCGGTTTCGGTTTTGGTTTTGGTTTTGGTTTTGGTTTTGGTTTCGGGTTCGGGTTCGGGTTCGGGTTCGGGTTCGGGTTCGGGTTTGGGTTCAGGTTCGGGTTCGGGTTCGGTATAAGGGAAATAGCAAAGTATTTAAAAATGTCAGAGAGTTTGGCTTTTATGAAGCATGGCAAGTAAGAAGTCGATTTTTTTGTTCACCGTATTCATCAATAAAATCCAGCACCAATACATCAACTCGTCTTTTAATAACACAACAATTTCTGGAAGAAATGACTTACATGCCAGCATTCTTAGCTGCTAGGACGCCAGATGGCGCATCTTCAAAAACAAGTATCTTTTTCGGATCAACTGGTCCGCCCTGCAAACAAGCAAAAATGTAATTTTTTTCTTTTAATTTTCTAGTTGAGTAGTGATTCGAATATACGGCACATTTTTAAAACTCAATTAATCAATAAGAATAATACCTCGAATCTTTTGGCTGCTGCAAGGAATATATCCGGCGAAGGTTTCCCTTGTTTAACTTCCGGATCATCACCACGTACAATATGATGCATCAGTGAGAAAAGTTCACCGTGTCTTTGTGTTTTCAATTCAAAATGCCTCGTGTGTGAACTGCAAAATTACACACTAATTATAATAAAAATAGCAACATCTATTAAATCGGCCTGCTAATTCAGAGAAAAAATAAGAATAAATATCGAAAATACCCCGTTGCAACAGAAATAGGTATTCCATTCGCATGTAGGTGCTGAATCAAACGGCTGGCACCTGTAAATAGTGCAAAGATAAGGCAGTAAAGTTCGATCAGTTTAATGTTGCGAAATTCCAATTTCATGTTACGATTATTTTGGAAGTTATTTTTACGGCTTTTATTTGTCGAAAGGTTATAAATAAGTGAGTCTCGACTATCTACTATCACTCGAATCTTTCGATTATTAAGATAAAAAAACCTGGCATGAGTTCACTTGTGGGGAACATAGTTTGCAGCATATCTTCTCTCTCTACAAGAAAATCTTCAGCTGAGAGTAAACCATCGATTCCGGTTTCTTCAACAAAAACTCGAGCAGCTTCTATTGCCTTCTTGCCCATCATTTTAGCCTTGAGAGACCAATCAAAAGTTTTATTGTATCTAGCAAGGATTATCTCCTGCACTTCAGTGTAGAATTTCTCCGTGTCTGAAAAAAGACCAATTTTTTTTATTATTGTACCGAGCATACGAACACCTCCGATCAAACAGAGAAGATTCTGTACCGATACCTTAACCACTGAAAAAATGTGGCAATAGGCTTCTCTAGAATCTTTTACTGAGATGCTTAAGTGATCTATCAAATTTATGTATAACATTTCTGAATTACAAGAAGCTATCAATGCATTCAGTTTATAATAACAAAGCATTACGGACAAAATCGAGCAATTCTATAGTTATTCTTTCCTAAAACTAAGGTCATGTATCAATTTACTATTTTTTGGTTAAACTGATCAATATTACCAGACATGAAAACAACATCAGCTGAAGTTTCTTAACAAAAAGAATAAATTAGAAGCAACTGAACAGAAAATAAATACTAAATGTTTCACAAAAAAAAAAAAATTAATCAAAGCATCGAATGAAAAATCCCAGATTATAAAGTTCAGCAGAAGGGCAAAAATATTTGTAAACAACATAAATCAAATTAGCATCACACAATGCATTTATCCCCAAACTTGTTCAACATAATGTATGGCGAAAATTTAGGAATTGTATAATTAAGTTTAGCGAATAATTTAAAGTTTGGGCAAAAATTTAGGTGGCGATTACCGAGTAAAAGCCCATCCATATCGAAAATGATGTGAGTAATTGAAGGCTTAGTTGAAGGAGCATCAGCTGCGCTGCATGTATTCGCCATTTTAGTGACGTCACAGTGGAGCTGGAGATCTCAGATTATTTGGGGAAGACGGACCAATTGCTATTTACCAGTTTTTTTTTTTTTTTTTAATGAATTTACAATTAAAATTCAAGACGAAAGCGCATCAACTGTCCAAGCGTTTCTAATTAAATCGCTGCTGTCTTCGTTTTCTTTTTCCTAATGGGAATCATTCAAAAAAGGGACCCGTTCGGTTTCGATTTCGGTTTCAGGTTTCGATTTTTCGGGTGTCCGGGTTTTGGATTTTCGAGTTTCGGTTTAGGTTTTCAGGTTTCTGTTTCGGATTTTTGGGTTTCGGGTCTCGATTTCAATTTTTTGGTATTCGGGTATTTAGGTTTCGGGTTTTCGGATTTCGATTTCGATTTCATATAAGAGGGTTTCACTTTTATATATTATATAGATATAAATGGGTATATTATGGCCCTTTCAGAAACTACTTGTAACACTTCTCACTAATCAAAATACATCCAAACAACAATATCGTCACTATTACTACATATACCCCATGTACTATTAAATGCAACAAAACAGCCCCTCACATTACCAGCCAACTCTAGCAGTGTTAGTTTTTACCATGTAGTTACTTTTTTACCCTTGCCCTTATTTGATAGAAATTCAATGTAACTTGGGCAAAAAAAAATCGATCACGTACATCAAAACAAAACTGGTTCCAGAAGAATATGAAATGTAGTGTTTGAACCTAAAACATGAATTTTGAGTATTTGAACTACCGAAAGACATTTTTAAATCAAGTAATTTATTTATAAATTTAAAAAGAAATAAAAAATAATTTCTAGAATATAAAATTTGTTCAAAAATTTTGGTTAAAACAAAAGGCTGGAAAAGAAACTTGGGAAGAAATTAAGTACAAATGAGTGAAGAATGATGCACACCTTTTATACGCAATCAAAGGGGTATTTTGGTCTGAAATTTTCCAACAGCTATTGAAAGGGGAAACTTGTCTAACAAACATGGACGGCACGGGTCAAGGGATATATGCGACAGCGATGATAGTACAGGGGTGCAAAATGTATTTAACCCAAAAAAGCTATTCAGCGACAAAGACCATGAGACAAAGAATACATATTATTGATGTCCAAAAAAAAACTTCAGTTTCGGACAAAGTCGAAGGGGAAAAAAAACGAATTCGCAAAAAAAAAAAAAGTTAATTTAATGCAATAATAATAATAATCAACCCCATCTAATAATAGCAGAGCCCCAAGTAAGGCCAGCTCCGAAACCAGCAGTAGCTATAGTATGACCGTTTTGTACTTTGCCGCTTCGAACAGCTTCGTCCAATGCCAATGGAATCGATGCAGCACTTGTATTCCCGTAATTTGCTAGGTTCGATATCACACGCTCTGACGGCAGTTTCAAACGAGTGGCTACTGCATCGATTATTCTTTGATTCGCCTGAAAAAAGTAAAATACAAATTGATTCGATAATTCTATTATGGAGTTTCTTGCATTTAGCACCCACTGCGTTGTATCGAATTTTTTGTCAGAAACTCCCAATGTCATAAATATTAGCAAACAACCCCCTATGATGCATTTGTTTTAGCACACAAGCCCTCTAAATGGTGAGTTTTTAGGGGGCAGTTTGCTATAAAAAAAATTGAATCGAAGGGAATGTTTGCTATGTTTTTACAATTAGAGTAAACACATGGGTATTGAATGCAAGAAAACCCTTCTTTTATAAGCGCAACCAAATGAGGCCTAAGTTTATACTTCTACTTGATTTTGAATTTTTCTTGGGTAAATAGCACTTACCTCCTGTGGTTTGAACTTTGTGCACATCACCTCCTTTTACTTTCAATATTGCACACCACCCCCTTTAATTTTAATATAGGCACATAACCCCGTGTACTTTCAAGAAAATTCTCTTCCAACGAGCATGATTATTTACCAAATGGAATACCATAGGAGGGTTATGTGTTTATATGAAAAGTACAAGGGGGTCATGTGCACAAAGTTCAAACTATAGGGGGTCATGTGCTTATATTGAAAGTACAAGGGGGTCATATGCACAAAGCTCAAACCACAGGGGGCGTTTAAGTACTATTTACCCTTTTTTTTTAAATAGGTCAAAAGCCAAAACTTCAAGGTAATTTCTATAATTTACCCTAAATCATATATAAACATGATGGTATGTATAATGCAAATTGATAAATTAAACTCAAAAAAAAAAAAAAAAAATTATAGGTTGTATAAATACCTGATGAAGAAGCAACCAGTCTATATTAGATCCAGTTAAACCAGCCTTCTCTAGAGCCAACTCGATAGAATGTGGGACCACACGAACAGCAAACCGAAACACCTCCTTACCATTCATCTGTATACACGAGTACGATGACCCGTTAGGTAAAAGTCCGAGTAGCGAACCATTTGTACCCAATTCTCCGTCCTTTTCATTTTCCTTCATCGTTGCATTTAAGTGTCTGCAAAAATGAAAAAAAAATTAAGGTTATTATTTGCTTATTTGTATAAATTCTTGAAATTTACGGAGTTGACGAGCATATATATTATATAGACCTTTGTCCGTCACCATCACTGTGCAAGTCAAAAGCAAATAAACCATCTTCTTCAGGATCACACGCCTGCAGGAGAAGAATAAAAAGTAAAATAAAAATAATATTAATCATGCATATAATTCTCGTTCCAAATATCAGAAAATATTAATTTATAGAATATTGCAAAAAAGTAGTCGTATTAAAGAGATATGACGTAAGCAGTACCTGTACTAAAACGGCACCAGCAGCATCACCAAAGAGGATGCAAGATCCTCTATCTGTCCAGTCGACGTAGCGCGACAGAGCATCAGCCCCGATCACCAAAACATTTTTGAAGCCACCCCCTAAATATTGAAAAAAACGAAAACGAAAAAATAACTTCGGTAGTCGTAATAGAGCTAATTAATAAATATAAATAAAATAATTGATTTTTTTTTAATACCTCTAACGTAGGAAGCAGCTGATACTAGGCCCAACACGAAACCACTGCATGCAGCAGTAATGTCGTAAGCTAATGGATTGTTTTTGCATCCAAGCGCTTTTGGAATCTGTAATAAAATATACCAGAAGAAACGTAAATAACACAAAGGAATTTTTTTTTTTAAGAAATAAACGATTCGGAAGAGTGCAAAGATCGACTAGTCGAAAAAGACGTTGGCAGTTTATTTTTACTTGCCCCTCGAAAGAACAGTTATATATATATATATATATATATATATATATATATATAATATGTGTATACCTGTGGAGCACTACCAAACAAATCTTCGGGAGTTGAAGTACACAACAAGACGAGGTCCACGTCATTAGGGTCGACATTTGCCATTTCGAGAGCTTTCTTTGCTGCCTCTGCAGCCAGATCTGTTAAACTATCTTTTCCTGTGGGATCATTGTAATTTAAGAATAAGGCCGCGTTTCATATCTAGAAAAGCTAAACAAATTTCACAAAATTCCGTTTCGTAAAAGTTAAAACAAAAAAAAGGGCTTATATACAAATTAGTATACTTGTGAACTCTGCGTGTATTGATCAGCCGTACAGAATTGCATAACTACTAAACTATTCTGTTTCTGTATTCTAAATAAGTGGTAAACTTTGTCCAAAGATTCAATTTTTTAGTATTCCAAAGTAAGTTTGGAGATATAGACTGTTGTATCATCCCTTTTCGTTCAAAAGTAAGCATTATTCCGATATCCAAATCATTTCGTTGGGGCCCACAAGGTAGTTTAAATCCCAAAATTACAAGTACGACACTGAAATTAACATCAATTTTACCAGTGGGGATAGGTAAATATAATCACAAAGCCGATCAATATAACATGTTCTAACAAGTTTTATAGTATATGTAATCGCCCACAGAAAAATAGGGAGAAAAAAAAAACATACCAGAAAGTATTCTTCGATTACGAATTCCTGTCCGAACGGATATCCATTCATCGTTAGTGTCAACAATTTTCGAGAGATCGTCGTTCGATATTTGAAGACTCGGTACTGCAGAGCCACATCCGACCAACTTGCAGCCTCTGCTAACAAGCCTGAATAAAATTTTCAATTTGTGATTAGAAATTAGTCGAAAGTATAACTAAAACAATCACATTGAATTGAAATTTCGATGGAATTTCAAATACTTGGCTCTAATTTTCGAGTCATTGTGGTTGATTTCAGATTTATCTCGTTTGGAGTTATTTGAAATATCTCTAACTAATCCTCCGTCAAATACGAATCCTCCCATCTAAACAGTAGATAAACAATATATAGTTTAACTAATCTAAACGAATGAGGCCCAATCAAAAGATTCATAACGAGAGTCAAATGTTAATACGTTCAGTACATGTTCAACTCTAAATTATTAATATTAAACTATTAAACTTTATAAATTCGACAACTCTGTAACCATCACTGAAATATGAAATTTCTTGATCGGGGATAAAGAGAAGTTAGCTAAACAAACAATACGGGAGCAATATCGCATGTTGTAGCTCAACATATAAAATCACTTCAAAAGTAAGAGTTCGTATGGTCTCAGAGCAGCCTCATTAGAGAAACGGTCTTATTTATAAAAAATAAAAAATAAAAAACACCTTCAATTAGGGGCTTAGGGCTGAAAATCGGCTTGAGTTCGATTAGGGAAAAAAACATGTACAGAAATCAAGAAAGCTACTCGACTTGAGCTCGGCCGAGCTCGACTCAATTACTTATCAAACCAAGCTCTAACAAAACTCGAAAGCTCGAATAAAAGTTCAAAAAAGCTTGAACAACCGTAAGTTCGGCTCGACTCGATTCCTTTACACCCCTAATTGCAGCACATTCAGTGAAATAACAAGAACACCACCTCAATCAAAAATCAATTAAAAAAAAAAAATCACATTTCTTGCACACTATTTAAAACACCCAATAATAAACATTTCATCACCAACATAGTAAAACAATAAAAACCCAGAAATCAAAAACGAAGTAAACATGTAAAGATTGAATTTTTTTCCCAAGAATTTAATAAATTAATTACCTGGGTGGTCTAGATTCAGAAGAGGAGAGCTTCTGTTCACCGTGGGCAGTGGTGGAGCACACTATACCCCTGGACCCGCCCTCAGAGAACCAAAACCCAGATCGATAAATGCCTGTACATGGAGAAAACCTCCTCCTCACACTCGGCACCACTGGATTAAACAGCCCAGATGCATTCGCCATTTTTTTTTCAATTCTGATTATCTATTTTTTTTTTGTTTCTACAAAGCACTTTTCACAAGAAACGATTAATCGCCCTTTTTTTTTATTTATTGAAACCAATAAATAAATAAAATAAAAAGAAACTCCAATCGAAAATAAAATAAAATTGACGGAGAACACGATGGATCTTTACTTAGTAGTAAATTGATGAAAATTCCTATGCAAATCTTCTCTCTCTCTCTCTCTCTCTTTTTTATCGCACATGCAAATGCATGTAAGAAAAAGAAAAGAAATAAAAAAAAAAAAATATTACAGATGTATAGATACAGGTTTTCTGTATCTATTCTATTTCAGTTTGAAGAGAGGGAGGAGTGACTCATGTCTATCATGCAGATTGCATCTGCCATTTCTCGAGACTGAATCTTGGCAAAGCAAATTGTGCTAAAGTAGGGATTCCGGCACATCCTATTTCTGTGAAGTTACTATTTTGCCCCTGGGTGTGTCGACAGGGCCAGGGCCCCGGGCTGGGTGGTTCAGTTGGGGACTGAAATGTAATTTCGCAGGGTTTTAGTGGCTACTCCTTTGTAGAGGGTGTTGTTAATTGGACAGTCAACTATGTTTGTTGAGCTACATTATTAGCAAACTTACTGAGGTGTACTTTTTTTTTTTTTGTGTGGAGAAAACAAAGTTTTTAAGAATAATTAATTCATGGCTTTTAATATCATGTCTGAATAAATCTGAAATGATTATGAACCATGAAGTGATTTAAAAATTAAAAAATTACGGCCACCCTATAAGGTCAGATTAAATTACGAAAAAATCCCTTATGTTTGGATCATTACAACTATCCTTGACTATAATCTTCTTACATGTTCATTCTTATGCTGTGAAATTCAACAGAAATCGTCTAGATTATGTGGAATGTTCTCTAGTTTGTATTTGTTTTGTGCAAAAATGCAGTTTCTGATGCACCACAATCTGATATTTACAAGTCAAGAGACAGATCTTATGATCATCTTATTTCAAAACGTGGGGCTCGAATAGGGTAAAACGGGTATAAACTGAAGAAGATTCCACATAATCTAGAAGATTACTAAATGTATATGACGCCGCAAGGTGGACGTGTGAGAAGATTCATAATTGAGTGGTTTGACTGTAATTGCACACACAAGAGGGTTTTTTTTTTAATTTAATCATACCTCAGGGAGTGACCGTAATTTACCCATTTTTATATTGGAATTTAAAACATTGAAAATAATGTGTGCGTAATAACAAATAAATTTCAGAATTATGGTTTATGAATTATAATCCTTTTTTTTTCCTTGAAATAACAAGATGTTTTTTATGTGGGTATATATTGTTTTTTTTTTTTTAAGAAACTCGCGAAGTCTCAATTCTATATTCATTAGTAACAACGTCTTTTTAAAGGTTTCGATTAAATTTCTTCGCGAGTCGTTCTGATAAAAAATTACCCCTGCATTTTTCTTAATTAAAACTTAAAAGCACACATGCCAAGGTTATTTGATTAGTGTAGTTAGGTTAGTTGTACTGCATATTTCATAGCTTACTAAATGATTTGTAGACTGTGGTTAACTAGACTAGTATGTAACTAACTAGATTGGCATTTACTTTTCAAGAGAATTGATGAAGCAATCAAGTTAAGGAGAGTAAGGAAGATAGGCTGAAGACTTTGAATGTGCTACGAGTTTTAGGCGTCGGATGAAGTAAGTTAGCTCCGTGAGGAAATTTTTTTGTTCGGAGCTGAACTCTGACAGATTCTGTTAATTACTAATTGCATGAGTTGGCACTTTGTGATTGGATAAGAGAAGGAAAAGCAGTTGCAACTGTTGAGCTTATTCCAGAAAATTCTATGAAACATGTATATATAGGATCTTGTTAGCTCATCAACCAGTTAGTTAGAACACACGTTATATTACACATTCAGAGCGTGAGAGAAGAGAGATATTTATAGAGAGAAGTAGAAGAAGATCTTTTGCATAAACTGAGTTAGGGTTGAAGACAGATTTGAAATCTGTTGTATTTGGTATTGTATCTTTGTAATCGTTTACGTTCATAGTCTCTCTTTTCTGGTGCATATAGATCACTCCGATAAAACCACGTTGAATCGTCCTTGTTCAATTGCGCGATTCAAACTTTCACTCATTGCATGATAATTAGGGTTCTTAGCTCATCTCTTAAATCTAGATCTGTATTTTCTTTACTACTTTATTAAGTTTCTATCTACTAAATTGATGTATACAAGATTATTAATTAAACTTATTTTTATCACTTTGTTAAACTCATCCATTGTACATGATTTAATCCAAATTTATTGAATTTTTTTTTACGGAATTTTTATTGGATCGAAAATAATGGATCGCAACCGGTCCCGGTCCTTACCTTTTTGGGGCCCTAAGTGAATTTGAACTAAAACGATACATACGGCCCCACACATATATATAAAATATTTTTTTATTCCAAATACTTCAATTATCATTATCTTTTGTTACTTTCTAAGTTAAAAATACATATATCTTACATATAAAAGAAAGAAACGCTGAACAATCCTAAAAAACCCTAATGGAATTTTTGTAATTATTTATTTTTAATATTTTTTCTCTACTAATTTCTAACTATAATTTTTAACAATTATCAAAATTAAAACTAACCCGTGAAGAATCCTACCTTATTGCTACTTATGTAATTATTTATTTTTAATATTTTTTCTCTACTAATTTTTTAACTATGATTTTTAACAATTATTGATCTCCTAATTGTCATCAATATATCTCAAATCTTAACAGGTAAAGTTAGAAATTCAATATGAATAATACTACATTATTAAATTTTATTATATTAGTGTACTATATTTTCTTATTATGCATTAAATTGATTATTTTTTTCACTATTTAGATAATATCTCGTGCATCGCACGGGGGGAAATGCTAGTTATCTCTAATACATGATTAAAAACTTCGCCAATTATCATAAGATTTGCTAAAAGAAATCAAAAGAATAGCCCTTTATAGATCAATATTTTTGGGCCCAAATAAGAAAATTGGTTTTGGGCTTCATTTTATACATTGCATGGATTTACTCTCTTGACTTGCATCCCTTGAGATTAGATATGATTAAACACTCTATATTTGACCCATGTGTTCACTTTTCAAAATTACATTATTACCCTTGACTAAATAATGAATAAATTACGATCTCCATCCATGATTTCAGGTCTAATTACATATATGGTCCTCATATTTTAAAACACCACAAAGACCTCCATTAATGTTTAATTTTAACTAAAATCTTAATTTAAACTTACTAATAATAGTTTTTATTCTTTTTCTATATTATAAAAAAATTATTATGAATAATAATAATAATAATAATAATAATAATAATAATAATAATAATAATAATAATAATAATAATAATAATTATTATTATTATTATTATTATTATTAGACTTTTTTATCTCAAAAATAATAACATTATTAATTTTTTTCCAATATTAATTTTCTAATATCTTTCAATAGTAATTTTCTATTAATACATTCAACATCAATTTCCAATAGTTTCCAATATTAATTCCCCAATATCAATAACTCTTATTGTCTATACAAAAGCGTAAGATTAATTTTCTAATATATTTATGTTTCCAATATTTTTTCTTTAAAAAAATATTTTAGTAAAAATAAAAATATTTTTCCAACATTAAGGGGTGTCCTTGTGATATTTTAAATATGAAGGAACTATATGTTATTAGACCTAATCTTATGGCAATAAAAATATAAATTGCTTAATATTTGGTAAAAAAAAAAAGTCAAAAGTAGAATTGCTTAATACAATACTCCATCTGTTCCACAAAAACTATCTATTTTTTAAAATATTTTTGTTTCATATTATCTATTACTACCGCATTAAATGCATTTTTCCTGTTTCAACCTTATTAATGCATCTCTAAATATTAATTATCTCTTATAAATCACAAATGATAAAGATTGTTTTAGTCATTTTTATGTGATTTCCCTAAAATGAAACTACATTTATTGAATTTCTTAATCTTTGTGAAAAGTGAAATAGACACTTATTTAAGAACGGAGCCGTTGCTAAATAAAAATTAACCATGAACAACAAAATCATGAATTTCATGTATATGTGTATATATTAATCCATTTGATAATGCCCTCTAAGAAAGGGAAGTGGTATATATCCATCGCTTGACCATATACCAATTCCTCCTTCGAAAATTCCCATATTTTATAATTTTTAAACTTTTTCAAACAAAATTCGAAATATCTGAAATTTTTTTCTTCGAACATTACATTTATAGTACCAAGTTTATTACATATTTTATGTTATATGTAAATATAAAAATCGAACTCCACAATCTCAAATCCAAAATGTTCAAAATTTGGAGGGTTTTTTAAGATCTAATTTGCCGAAATTGTGATTCCATTTTTTTTGATTTTTTTCTAGTTCAAATATTATTTTTTGAAAGTGTTAAATTCAATCTGATTCGCCCGATTTCGACTGGGTCTCCTTTTGTCTATCGGCTTCTCTCTCTCTATATATATATTATTCTTGGAAGCGTCGTTTCTAGAAGGCATGCACCATAGCCTATAACAAAATAGGATTAAAATGTGACAACTATAAGATTATTAATTACTTTATTTTTCTCTCTCTATATATCTCCTCTTTCATTTGAAAATGAAATTTTTGTCATTTTTCTCATTGCACACTCCACCCTTTTGAAAAGGAAAACAAATACAATAACCTTTATATATATATATATATATATATATATATATATATATATATACACAAAATTCTTGATCCTTTTCTAGATAATACACAATTAAATCAGCCTTGATCCGAAGCCATCTTTGTTCATTCCCTCACTTCTGTTCTCTTTTACAAATAATTTCACACAGTACCACACGCAGTGATACACACACATATATATATATATATACACACACACATGCATTATAATTTCTTGTATTAAATTAAATGGATAAAATCACCAGCTTTAAAATTCAAGAAACCAACGAACCAGAAGATGAAGAAGAAGAAGAGGCGTTATCGCTCTGCGATTTACCTCTAAACTCCGATGAACCCAAGACAGATATTCATCACCGCCGGAGATCCTCCTCCCAGCTGCCGGATTTCTTCGAGTTCTTCAACGATCCCATCTCCTCCGACGAAACCAACATGTCACACGCGGAGGACATAATCTCCGGCGGCAAGCTCGTTCCCTTTTACAGGCAATCGCCGCCTCTAATTCCCGACGATCAAACCCTGAAATCTCTTTCCGCCGGAGATGAATACAACTCTGCAAACTTTTCTCGGCGGTACTGCGATTCCTTGCCGGAGATGAACCCCACGAGATCAAACACGCACAGCGCCGACGCCGCCGCCGCTACAGAGCTGACGCGGAGCAGCCGTTCTCTGGACTGGAGAAAGCTTCGCCGGAATTCGAGCCTGGTTATGAAATCCGAAGCGTCGGATGTTCACCGGAGTCTGTCGAGCGGATCGAGGCCCAGTAGGTGGTATTCTTTGATGTTTGGGCCGGTGATGTTTTCGCCGGAGATGGATCTCCGGGACATGAAAAGCCGGCAGGTTCGCCGGAAGGTGGCGGTGGATGGCGGAGGGAAATCTCCGGTTAACCGGAGAAGCTCGTGGGGTAATGATTTGCTGAGTGTATTGAGTTGCAAGAATCATGCTAGCGTGGCGGTGGTCAAACCATCGTCGGTTGGTTTTCTGCCACGTGTGTGATAATGACTGTCACGTGAGAATTTATTTTTCAGAGTCAATATATGCATTTACGTACGCATATATACTTTTGTGCAAGAATTTTGATTTCATTAAAATAGAAAAGAAGTAATTAGATTTCAATAAAATATTGTATTTATTTGTGTATTTTTATTTATTTTGTTCCAAAGTAAATGTGCATTTTGCATATGTTTATTCCGTATTTTGAATTCTGCTCATTTCGATCCAAAATTTACCGATTGTGGAACAATATTTTTATTCCTGAATTCTGAAAGTTCTGATTCCATTTTTTGGAATGGAATTGGTATACATATTAGGTTTCGATTTCTGGTCCAATATTAAATTTCGAAAGGGTAAATTACAAACACCCCCCTGAGGTATGGTCAAATTACAAAAAAACCCCTCTTGTATGGATAATTACATCTACTCCCCTCAACTATGATTTTTTCTTAGACCTCCACTTTTATGGTGCCAAATTCAACATAGTCATCTAGATTCCGTGAAATGTGCTCTAGTTTGTACTTTTTTTGTGTAAAAAATACAGTTTCCGATGCACCACAAACTGATATATACAAGCTAAAAATCACATATTATGATCATCTTGCTTCATAATGTAGAGTTTGAATGGGATAAAACGGGTACAAAAGTGATAATATTCGATATAATCTCGAAGATTCCACTAAATTAGAGGAGTTGAGGGGGTGGTTGTAATTATCCAAACAAGAGGGGTGTTTTTGTAATTTGACCATATCTCAGGGGGGTGTTTGTAATTTACCCATTTCGAAAATTACACTTATAATATCAGTGTTATTATGTGTTATAGGTGACTAAAATTTGACATTTCTGAATCCCTTCAATTCTTACCCAAAATTTTCTGATTTTGGAACAAGTATTTTCTTCCAATTTCCGTCCGATTTTTTTTTCTTTTGGAATGAAATGAAATTAGTTTTCTACTTCCAAAAAAATAAAAAAAAAATCTAAAAATATTAATTACGATCCGATCTGCCCCATTCCATGATCCCATCTATGCAGAGCTTATGTTTTGGTTTGACGTATTGATTAATTGTCCTCAATAATATACAAAAAGACAAATTACGGTCAATCCTCTGCGGTAAGCTCAAATTATGAAAAAGTCTCATATTTGGATAATTACAACTACACTCTTCACATATGTATTCTCTTACGAAAAAATCTCTATTTTAGTAACTAATTTGACACCATAAGAATAGAGATATAATACAATACATAGGTGAGAGGGTGATTGTAATTAACCAAACATGAGAGGTTTTTGCGTAATTTAACCGTACCTTAGGGGTAGACGTAATTTGCCCATGTGCATAAACACAACTTATAATTACACAACACAAAGTTTGTCTGACAATTTTTTCATAAATTCACATCCATAAAAACAAATTAACAATTGTATAAGGGTGTTATAGTAAATTCGGTTAATTGCAAAACCAAAGAGGATTTTACGTACAAGAAAAGGTAGTACACAGTTTGGGGCACATGTTTGACGATGATGTTTCCATGTAATTTAATGTTGCTGATTTTATGAATTTTGTCTTCCATGGTGGATTCAGTTAATTGGGGCCAAAAAAATCAGTGCGACTTTTTTTAAATATTATCCAATTTTTTTATTTTATTTAGAATATTTTAAAATATTATAATTTGGAAAACATCAATTAAATTAGGTAGCGTACATAAAGGACAATATTTTTCCCATGGCTGCTTATTAAAATGTTCAGTTCTTGTTATCTCAATGTTGGTAGTATCGAACATTCTTGGTAATTACAAATCTAATTCAATATTCCAAATGGTATATTACTATATAGTATATACTATATACTATATACTATATACTATAGATCAATTTTCTAAAACTAAAAATTAAAAACTTTAAATTGACCAATCATTGCTGTTTATTTTTTATATTACTTTTTAATATATATTCGACCCGTAATAAAATTAAAATCCTAGCTTCGCCGCCAACGTAGAGACAAATCAAGTAACTAACAGAATTCAATTTAAATGTATTAAACAAATTGTTATAATATATTTTAGTTGTGGAATTTATATGTGGTGGAGGGTCATTGTTCGTACCTTAATTAGCCTCCACTTACAAAATTAGAAACATGATTTTCATTAATCTTCAAAATTGAATAATATATGCTCAAGAAAATTCAAAAATGACATGGCATTAAAAGAAATTGAAGAAACGTGCATATTTAGTAATATTCAAAAAGGGTATTCCACCAAAATGTTGATAGGTATATGGTATACCGAATAAAATAGAGAAAATAATTCTTTCTTTACATTGAAGTTAAAGGCTTCAAATTTCACTTTTATTTACCATCTTGTTTTCATGAACTTTAGTTCAAGAAAACCTTTCATAACTCTACCAACTAGGTCATAAATTGCTAACTCTTAAAATAGGTTTCTCGATAAATATTCAGACTAGTTTCGAAAGACGAAGAAAAAAAAAAAAAACCCGACAAATTTCACAATCCTAACCGATAAAGTTCTAAGCTCTGTTCAATCGCCTTATTATGGGATCGTCTTTCGTTATTGGTATTGCATCTCGTATTGCAATACCGCTTATATATTTAGGACAATCGTACACTGACGATGCTATTTCTATCAAACTTTAACGGTAACCTAAAAAAACTCGTCTAGAACAAACACGAGTCGTGATAACTAATACAATATAACCCCCGTTCAAGAAAAAAACACAATAGGGCAATAAGTTGCTTCAAATTGTGGAGTGAAATAATTCATCGAGAAATGATTAACAAACGCTATTGGCTCACATAAACCAGTCGAAAACTAAAGCAAGTTAGTTATAACTGATTCTGTCGAGGAAACGGTGATTTCTCATGCAGATTAGTGAACGAAAAACACATTCAGCAAGAATACTTAACCCTCCTCTAAAAATGTAAAACCAATCATTTACGAACTTTATCACCTTCGTTACAGAGTACAACTCTGTTTAATAATATACATACACACACACCTAAGTAGGACCAAATAGTGCACAAATAAATTTTCCGTATAGAAACAATAAGTCGTCCGTACATAGAACACCTCAAAGTACGCTAAAAAAAACATTCGAAACCACAAAACTCATCACAACAGAAAAACAGAAAATGGTACAAATCCACTACTTAAAAAAGAGGCAATAATTTTCGTACTCAATTGCAAATATAAACCCCACTCGCGTACCTGTGATCAACCTCGTAAAAATCCGTCTTCCCCTCAGAAGCTGGCCCTAGACAAATCCCGGACAAAGACTGCTTCCCTATCGCAGAAAACTTGACGTAACCAACAATTTCAAGATCCGACCCATCATCATCATCGTCAATCTCCAAAGGCAATCTCGCCCTCAACCTACCGGGATTACCCTTCAACGGAATCTCATCAATATGCCATTTCAATTCCCTCTCGGACCTATTCCACACCGCTTTCGGCGACACTTTCAACAGCGTGGGGTCCACGGGCAGTTTCAGAATAATAGTCACATCATTCAAAGGCACGGGCAAGTCGGGATTCGACGCATACTGTATCATAATCGAGAGCAACATCCCACTCAGCCGCTTCACAAGCCGAACCCTTATAGGCAATGGAGTCATACGTGGCAGCAAGCTGTACTTCATAATCGGCATAGGCTCGTCCGATGGAGGTGTCCTAACATGAAACAAACCATTTCCAAGGCTGCTAATTTTAGAATTTTCCACCACAAACCTCTTAACGCCAGCTGTGCCGTCAACCTTAAACGAGAACTCCGTTTCCGTATTATCCGAGGAGGGTTTTGGAGGCACTGTCTTTAGGTACACCACCCCCTTCAACCCAACCCTAGCTAGTATAGATTCCCTAAACTCAGCACTAATCTCTTCCACAATGTACATTTCCGGACCCTTCATTTGAGTCTTCTGCACCAGCATATCCACAATCTTATCGGCGTCGCCACCTTTAGCCACTGCTGCAGGTGGAGGCTCGCTCGTATTTATAAATTCCAAACCACCAAGACCTAGATCCTTTGGAACCTTCTTGGGTCCCACGAACTCCGATGCATCCAATCCACCACCCCACGCACTATTATGTCCCTCGAAATCGTCCTTAAGAGTCGAACCACCAGTACCAAACTCAACCCCACCGTATCTCCCTTCAAACCCGTCAACTGTTATCTGCGTTGCTTCAGTGGCTGCAGCTGGGGGCAAAGAGGTAATTTCAAGTCCCGCGAGGGCCTTGCTCATGTCCGAAAGGCCGGAGTCCTTATCCTTCTTGAATCCCTCGATCAGCAATTCTTCCGGCGGCTTGTTGATTCTATCGCTGGCCGCAAACGGATCCTTCTCCGCCTCGGTTTCGTCGGCCTTGCCCAACGAATCTTTCTCCTCGGCGCCTTGCTGGCTGAATGTGGCGGCAGCCACCTCGTCGCCCGCCTGCAGAGTCTCGGAGGGCAACTCGAACGAGGCGTTCGAAAACGCACCCACGCTGGCTTCGTGGTCCACCGCATGAGGCTCCACGTTACCCCAGGTGTCGGCGCCTCGGATCTTGCTCTCGGTGTGAACTGCCGAATGAACCATCTTGGCAATGCCGTCGCCGTGCATTGATGCCAGCATGGCAGCAAGCCTAATGCTGCTAACACCCCTCAGAACAATATCCAGAGCCATGTAAATCTCAGCGTATTTTTTCCCCAGCTTCTCGGGGGTTACATCCACGCCGCGGCAGGCGGTGACCACTATCGAAACCGCCTGGTTGACGATGTTGATGCACTCGAACACATTGTTGTTGGAATCGTCGATGGTTGTCACGGCGAGGACGTAGATTGAGTTGACGAGTCGGTACACGACTCGGTAGCGTGACTCGACGCCGACGATTAGCTGGCCGGAGGAGGCCGCTAAGGGATCGTCGCCTAGTGAATCGGAGGACGGATCGGGGTCGGGGCCGGTTCCGGCGGCGGATTGGTGGTGGCTCTTGGCGAAGGAGAGGCGGGTTTGCCGGAATGAGGAGAGCGCCATCAGCGCGCGGGAAGGGGGAAACCATTCTCGGGTTTGGAGCAATATGTCGGGCCCATTCGTGGGCTGAAGAGATAGTGCCAAGCACGACATTTGGGATTCTCAATTTAGGTTTTTCTGAAAAGGGGCTGAATTTCAATTGGGAATTTGGGGATCAAATCTGCATACGTTTATATGATCTTGTGGTGGATGAAGATGTTAGATATGGAATTGTATTACTTGAACCTCAGATCAGTGAGCTTTTTCTGTGATCGGAGATTCGCTTGTTGCAGAGATCGGAGAAGAAGAGAGAGAAAGAGAGTAGAGAGAGAGAGGGGGGGGGGAAAGAGGCAAAAGAAATGTTTAATCTTCCTATTTGATCCTTTTTTGGATCTAAAATGTTAAAAATATATTTGTTTCCATGGAGAAGCAAATACTATAACTTTAAGGGGGTCAATTGCTATACCCCATAAGATCATGGGGGGAAAATTATATTTTTCAAACTTGTGAACCCACCCCTGTCTTTTGATTTATTATTTATCGCATCAAAAATTCGAATCGAAAAAATCAAATGAATCCAGAAGAACTCCTCCGCCACCCTCTCCCCACCGAAACCCCCAAGCTCACTCTCGGCTGCCCCCTCCTCGACCGCCTTCTCGGCGGCGGCGTCCCCATCGACACCATCACCGAAATCGTAGCCGAGAGCGGCACCGGCAAAACACAGCTCTCCTTGCAGCTCCTTCTCGCCGCCCAGCTCCCCACTTCCCACGGCGGCCTCTCCGCCTCCTCCCTTTATCTCCACTCCGAATTTCCGTTCCCCTTCCGCCGCCTCCACCAGCTCTCCCTTCGCAGGCCCCACCTCCCGGAAAACCCTTTAGACCGCGTTTTCGTACAGCCCCTTCATTCCGCCGACCACCTGCTCGACCTATTGCCTCGCCTAGATTTTCTCGTGCCCAAGTTCAACATCAAGCTTATAGTTATCGATTCCATAGCCGCATTGTTCCGCGGGGAATTCGAGAACACCCCAGTTGAATTGAAGCGGAGATCGAGTATGTTTTTCAAGATTTCGTCGAAATTAAAGTTCCACGCGCGGAAATTCGGGTTGGCTATTGTGCTGACGAACCAAGTAGTTGATGTGATGGGGTCTTCGGAAAGTTTACGAATTGGGAATTCGGTATCATTTTTTTCGTCCGGGAGAAGGGTTTCTGCTGCATTGGGGTTGTCGTGGGCAAATTGTGTGAACACGAGATTATTTATGTGGAGAGAGGATGAGAGAATAGGTTCATCGGAAAATGAGATAGTGGGAGAAGAAGGTGAAACCTTGGAAAATTTTCAGACAAGAAGGTTCATTCGGGTTGTTTTTGCGCCCCATTTGCCTGATTCTTCTTGCGAGTTTGTAATTAGAAGAGAAGGGGTTTTCGGGGTTTGAATGACGATTAAATTAGCTCAAACGGTGAAACGATATCTTCATTGTAGAGGATATGATTATGAGAGGAGGTTTGATATATTGACGAAAGAAGCCATTGCCTCCGGTGAGATACTTTGTCCCTTGTGTTGGTGTTCGTTTCGATATTTTTTTTTTTTTTTTCTCTTTCTACGTACTTGTCTGAAAATCGCCAAGCGCTTGGATACATTTAAGGCAATGTTTGGAAGCGTTTTGGAACTTATTTTGATTTCATTTTGAGAAAATATGTTTTGGGGAAAGAATTTGAGAATGAAAGTAATGTTTGTTTGTATTTGGAAGGAGACAAAATACACTGTAGCAGTCAAATCATGTTTAAAGGTGTTAGAAAAATGTATTTTAAAAGAAAAAAATTGAAAGATGAAGTGATGTTTATTTGTTTTTTAGTGAAGACATTTTTCACTGTAGCAGTCAAATCATTTTACTGTAGCAGTCACATCATGTCTGAAGGAGAGATAAATTTTTGATATTGTTTTGAGAAAATTATTTGAGTAGTGTAATAAATATAATTTTGTTTTGGGGAATCAATGAAAACAAAATGAAATCACTTCCAAACATTGCCTTAGTTTATCTGTTTTCAGTTGTATACAGTGTGATCGTTTCTTGAATGCTAGTTGAAGCGAATTTGCGAGGTTTAAGACACTCTGTACTAGCTCGTAATCTGTTGCAACTGTTTTGTTTGCAGATATTCAGTCGGCATTGTTATTACCAACGCGTTACGAGGTTTTCTTATACACCTGAGCTTAATTTCTTCCGAAACAAAACCAAACGTATTTTGGTCGACTGCGCCTAATCGGTGAGCTTTTTGTACGGTAAATTATCCCAATAAGAGCAAATGATGTTGAATACCGGTTAATAAGATTATTAGGGAAATAGATGCTACAATATAGATGCAAGATTTTGTATCAATTGATATATACTACGTCTCACGTAATCAAATGTATGTTTTTTATTTGATGTATTCTTGGATTAAAACCATCTGTAATAAGATTGTAGATAACTCTATCAGCTTTCATTAATCAAGGAATTGCTGTTTCCAAGGAAATACATCAAATTCTTTGTTCTAATGTTCTGTGCTATCTATATATATTATATAGTAGTATGTATACATATATTATACGGACAGGTTGCTTATAATGTAAGGAATCAATTTGCAACTTATTACGGAAAATCAAATTGTAATATCCACACTTGCTTGAAGAATCGAAGAAGCCCTCCCACTTGGAAGATCTCTCCATCAACTCAAACTAAAAAACCTGCAAACGAAGAAACGAAAAACTTAGCAATCTTGTTCTTACTAAAACATTGCATACAGACACAGTATTCGACATACCTCTGTTTTTTGCTAATGATCAATCGAACTAAATGCAGCTCAAGTCGAATAGACCAGAAACGGCACTGCAGAAACAAAAGAATATATGCCAAGTGAGAACGAAATTGAAGCAAAAAAAAAGAAAAGAAAAAGATTGTACTCAATAATCGTACTAATTGTATTCTCACGCAAGATTTTACGTCTCCACAACAATTTATTTTGAATCTAGTTCGATCACGGCCCATTGAAAAGCGACAAGATCATCACGTTGTTTAACTTTTTATATGACAATTAAGAATATTCAAAATAAAATCATATATTATATATTATCGGTTTATATGTTGCAAGGAAAACAAAATTAAAAAAAAAAAACTTACCGACTAAAAAAATGGTGAGCATCAAAGCAAGTATGAAACGCATTGAATTGACGGGCCGTACGAGTTGTTGCCTCTGGCCTCTTTGACCTCCTCTCAAGCGCTGCAAAACGCAAGCAAATAAAGAATTACCTTTTCAGAAACTCTATTCAAAATCTCGACAGCGATTTATTATTAGGGATTTTTCATGTAATGAAACGAACACAGTCAAATAAAAGAAAACTCCCCATTTGCCCATATCTAAATCCAAGTTTGCCGTATAGTATAATACGGTCTTGCTGTCTAATCATTTGACTAATTTATCGTAACGATTGCCTGATTCTTTCGACATTATATAATCTTCAAGTATTATTATTTTTTATTAATTAGGAAGTTTAACAAAGTCAACACCACCAACCGTATAATTCAATTCTTAATGGACACAAATTATTGCACAAATTATTGTAAAAAAATACTAACCTGATTTATCCAATTGATCATTTTCAATTGGGTATGGTTTATTGCTCCTACTTTTGCCCCTTTTGAACCCTTCTCGTTCGGCAAAGCTTCAGTCAATGCATTCTTCTTCTTCTCGTCGCCACTAACAATAACAATCTCCAAAGCACTCTTGTTCGGTGGGGTCCACATTCTTCGATTGCCTGTTTCTTGAATTCTGCTCTCTTCTTTGACACCTTCGTTACTAATGGAATATTCTTCGATACTCTTTTCCCCATTAGAGGTTTTATTTTTTGAGCTAAATTCGGAACAATTATTACTTTTGTTGTCGAGTGAGTCGGTCACACTCTGATCGGTGCTAGTTTGTGATTTCCCGGAAAGGAAAAGGGCGAAATCGTCACATTCATCTTTATCCAAATTCACCCACCGAAAGGGTTTCTTTCCTTCAACATTGAAAGATTCCTTCAATTCTTTTTCGACGCGGGAAATTTGGTCTTCCATGGTGGAGATAAATTGCCTGTGGCGGCTAATCGTGACATCATCTCCGTGACTTCTGTAGCTCATACGAACTGCCCTTTCAAACTCTTCCAACTACATATCATCGACAAATCTTTTACAATGTTTTCTTTATTTTCTTTAATATGCATACCGATTAGTCGATTAAAAAAAAAATGAAAGAAACGACTACCGACCTGCCATTTTGCGGTGCCTAAAGCCATTTGAAGCTCTCGTTCTTCATCTAAATGGTGTGGCATTAGTCCTTCTCTTCTTGCTCTGGTCCACGTCCTATAAGCCGATTCCATTCTGCCCCAAGTCGAAACACGAATCAAGAATGTTAATTTCAAACTAATATTTCATTCTATCGAATTCGGCGTCGAGCACCGTTTAACAGTTCGAAAAAACTACATATTAGCAAGCAACAATCCCATATTCAAAAAGGCCTACTTCTATTTAATTTTGCACAAAGTCAAATAAAAGAATTGAATTTCATTACAGCAAAAAAAAAAAAAAATCCATCTTCTTCTTCTTGCATACAAAACATAACCACAGCTCAACCAATTAATAACACACTATTCCATTAAAGGAAAGAGAAAAAAAAAACATCTTCTTTGAACCTCAAACACTTCAAATATAGTCTCAAAAAAAAAAAAAAAACACTTCAATTACTATAACTAATCTTAGGTGGGGTGGGGTGGGGTGGGTGGGGGTGGGGGTATGAAAAAAGAAACACCCAAATAAAATGCACACACACAATTGGTAAAAAAGCAATCTTTACCTAACTCGAGGCAAGAACCCATAAATTAAAACAAGATCCAGATTAAGAATTAATTACAAATAACAGAATCGAAATCAAAATGAGCAAAAATAAAAATGGTGGTTATCAAATTTGCACACAAAAAAAAAAAAAAAAACTGACATGTCGGCAGATTGTTGAACCTCCTCAGCTGCAGAAAAGAAGGTATCTTTCTGCCATAAATCGAAGCTATTTGCGACCAACATCTTTTCCCCTCCTAATTTCTTGTTTATTTCCAACAACAAATAACACCACTTCAATTCAAGAGAAATATATATATATATATATATATATATATATATATATATATATATATATATATATATGTATGTATGTATATATCTGTGTGTGTGTTTATTTGTTTGTTTTTCTCTCTCTTTCTATCTCTCTCTCTGGTTCTTGAGAGAGAGAGGAAGAAGAAGAAAGCAGACAGAAACAGAAGGCGAAGAGAGAGAGAGAGAGAGGTAAGAACGAATCTTGTATTACTTTTTCCAACTTTTGCTGTTCTTTCGTTCCTTTTATCTCTGCAAGTTTTTTGGTATGTTTGTTTCTATTTTTATAATTTTATTTTATTTTATTTTTAATTTATTTTATTTTGTGTGTGTGTGTGTGTGTTTATGCTGGAATGCAATAATTAGTTTTTATTAGGTGTATGCTGGTGTAGGAGTCAATTTTGCAGTCAACCACTCATAATAGCTTTCTAGTTTCTATTGAGTCCTCTTCGAAATTTTAGTACATTTCACTTTGGCCTCTTTAATTTATAAAACATTTCATTTTGACACATATATTAAAACAAAATATACTAATAAATATGTATGGGGGGATTTAGAAAAATAATTCATCACGGCTCAAATGTTGCTCTCTCTCTAATTATTTCTCTATTAATTATTTGTTTTGTTTTTGTTTGTGAGAATCAATGTTTGGAATAATTTATGAGTAATAATAAGGCAAAGTTGAAATTTTGGAGTGACGAATAATCATTCGTTTCACATTGACTGTCGCTTTATATTTTCCTATTTGTTTATATTTTCAGTCTATTACATTTTTTAGAGTTACCCTCGTGTTGCTAATTATACGAGAGTATAAGTTTACATATCTCTAATAGTTTGTAAGTTATTATACGAGATTGTAGGTTTACCAAGTGCTTCTATATAGTTGGTTGCGGATTCCTTCGTTAAAATAAAAAAAATAGATAAAATTAATCAAAATGGTGTGAAATATAATTTAATATTAATAAAAGCATTATTAAGATATTGGATAATTATATATTACTATATAAAATAAACTATGATTGTGGTAGGTTAAACAAACAAAAGCAAGTTAATATTTATATAATAAACCATTTCTAGTAAATTAAAATTGAAAAACAATAAATTATATAAATCAATGGATATTTAGTATTTATCAAAGTTTACGTGGGACTTTTATGAAGGCAATGAATGCATTTAAAATAATAAACTATCATAATTTTTTGAATTTTCCATAAAAAGTTGATACTTGATAACCGGGATTGGGGGGGATTATGCCATTTATGCAAAAATAAGGGTTGTTTATTAAATATTCAGAGCTGAAAGGAGATCGATGCAAACTTTCATTTTATATTACAAAAAGAAGTTCTAGAGAGAGAAACAAGGCGTCGGCAGTTAGAGAGAGAAGGGGACAAAACGATGGTGAGTTGGGAATTTTATTTATGTGGGCCGGGCTCTGTTGTTATCGCGGTAGCTGCTGGGCCCGAACAGTGGGTGCGCCGTGTTTAGTCATTGGCCAGCCAACCACCCAATTTCCAATGTGGTGGGTCCGATTATCCTAATCAGCCAACCATTTACATGTTAATAAATATAATAATATAAATTTTATTAAATTAATTTTTGCTAAAATATTTTTTTATGGCCTATGTACTATCATATGGATACTCTTCCAATGTGTAGTTACTTGTCAAAGCTTATTTTATCATGTTCTTCATTGTTTATTTATGAATAACGAGGCTTCGTTTGATTGGGGAGATTGGTCATGATTAACTAAATAATTGAACTTTATTTGATGTTTATTTTTTTCAAAAGAAATGACTAACAAATAAAAAAATACAAAAAAAACTTGCCCAGAAGATAAATTTTCTAAATTGCCTATAGTGCCTACATATATGATTATAGTCGAAAGTTCTTGTTTTTATATATAAGATAATTATATATCTTATATATTTTATACTTGTGTTTTTCTTTCAATAAAATACATAGTCATTTTAGACTATAAAATTCTTTCAATAAAATACATAGTCAATAAAATTCTCGTACATTACACGAATGACCTTAGTCACCTCACAACACGGTTATGTAGTCTATATAAAAAAAAAATTGTTCAGTTAACATACACTTCATAAGTAGCGGAGTCGTTATAGAGTCATACCCTACATTCTCCACAATTTCTCAAATACCTATTGTTTTATACATTTTATTTAAACGAGTATATTTGCATTATCGGCCCCACTTAAAATATTTGATACATTTGTTTCGAGATTATATACAAAATTCTCGAATTAACGTTATTGAAATATAAAAAACCCAAACAAAAGATATCAAGTATTAATTTCTTCAAATCTTACAAGGTGTTCATTACCCGTTTGTCAAGATTTAACATTCGATTCGAGATTAAGTACATAACGTTATTGAGTTAACTTCACCTTGGTATGATATTGTCCAGATTGGGTCGGTCCCAACTGGTTTTGCTCTTGGGTTTCCCCAAAAGGCTTCTGAGTCTTCCCACTGGAGCTCGTGAGCACTTGCCATTTGCGAGAATCCACCACATGGTTAGGTCTGGGCCATGGCTCATATACAGTGTGGATACTCGCGCGGTATACAGGATTACATTTATTATATATTGTCCATATAGAGCCGAGACACAATGTGGTTTGGCTCTGGTTTCCCCAAAAGGTCTCATACCATTAAATTTAGATATCCTTCTTAATAAATAGAGTGATATTTCCTATATTAAAACCGATGTGGGACATTTGTTTGCACCTCAACAATCTGTAAGGTATGCGTCCGGAGAAAAACAAACCACACAAAGCCATAATGCCCATATTTTATTTCGAGACAATTAAAATATATAATAATATTAAGATGTTGAAAATTGATAAGCTAGAAATTCAAATCAAATGACACCAACTACCGAAAACAACATTCAGCTACAAATAAATATGAACATAGAAAACCATTAAACTAATCAAGCCAACAATTAATGATAACAAGAATTAAGAATTGCACAACAGTTGCAAATGAATTTGCATAAATTAAAAGGGAAAAGACAGTGGAACCGTCGGCAGAACACAAATTTTGCGATGGAGAAGCTCCGGTGGCCGTTCGATTTCCAGCTCAGTCTTTGTTCTCTAAGTCCTCGTCCAAGATCCAAGGTGGGCCTCCAAACACTCATGGCAGTCACACACACGCACACACGGTGTATTCCAACGAAAAAACAATGAAAAATGAAACTCAAATTCAAATCCTAATCTCACCGGTTTATCCATAAAGAAGTAAGCTCGAATTCATCGAAAAGAATCGAGCTTTTCTTCTCAGAAAAGGTTCTCTCTTCCACTTTATATTTTTCCTACTCAAATACACAAAGTATTCTTTCTTTCTTTCGTCACTTATTTCTCGTCCCACACACAGAAAGGGAATATGGTGCACTTATACGCCCAAATCCTCCACCAAACTCACGAAGAGTAAGGCAACAAATCACCAAGATTTGTTGAGGATAAGAAGAAAGATTTGTTGAAAGAAAAAGGGGCAGATTAAAAACATCTGCCGAAAAAACAACGAGATAGAAAACAGTGAAGAGAGAGAAAAGGGAAAACCAAAGTGAGATTGGGCTGACTTTAATTTTGGGCTCAAATTTTGTGGGCTGCTCGTAAGTGGGTTGCAAGGTGAAATTTTAATGGGTCATTCACAAAGAATTTATTTTGGGCCACACTCTACAAATCTCCACCTGGCCCAAATGGATCATCGGGACCTTTTTAGGAGAAATCATCATTATCGTATGACACTACCTGCACGCAAAACACAAAGTTAGTACAAGTTTAAAAAATAAAACACAAAGTAATGCAAAAAACAAGCAAAACACAAAATAATGCAGATAACAAGCAAAACACAAAGTAATGCAAATATTCTAACACATTAGAATACATCACCACAATCAGATATCATATTGGCTTGATCTCTATGTTGTTTTTTCTTAGGCTTGGGACAATCACTAATGAAATGATTATGATCACCGCAATTAAAACACCTTCTATTATTAGGATTAGCCTTCGACTTACTCCAATCTCGACCATTTTTCTTATTTAGATCATTTTGACTAGAAGAAGTTGTGTTGTTTTAAAAGCGATTAAGCTGACTTCCTTTAGTAAAATTAACCTTACCAAATGATTTATCCCTATTGATTCCCAATTCAAGCTCTTTGCTTTTTAAAGCATTAATCACAGTATCTAATGTAACATTATCTCTACCATACTTAATACCAGACTTAACATCATTATAAACATCAGGAATAACATTCAAGAGCGTATAATCATCAATGTTCTTATCACCATTTAATTTAATATCTTGAACTAACTTGGTAAAAACATCCATATTAGCATCAATATTTTTGCGTGAGTCCAATTTAAATCCAAAAAACTTTTCAAGCAAAAATATTTTATTGGGCAAAGAATTTTCAACATAAAGCTCTTCCAATTTATCCCATAAACTTCTAGCAGGATCATGTTTTCTTACTTTTCTAATCACAGAGTCACTTAGATTCAAGATAATAGCAGAATAAGAAAGATCATCAAGTTCTTCACATTTAGCAACAGTTATAAAAACCTCTTCACTTAGAGAAATCGCTTTAAAACATTTTTTATGGATTAGAATGCCTTTCATTTTCTGTTGCCAAATAGAAAAATCACCATTTGCATCGAAAGGAGCTAAAGATAACATAGACATAGATCCCATATTCCAACAAGTATCACAAAGACAGCAAAATCACCAAGATAAAATATCAGCAGGATCAACACACAGAATAATCACAAAGATTCAATATTATGTAAGAAAATTGAATCACAAAGATTCACAAATTTTCAAAAAATCACAAAGATAGTAGAATCACAAAGATTCACAATTTCAGAGCAAAGTCGAATCACAAAGATTCCAATTTTTAAATATCACAAAGAAAAAGAATCACACAGATTCACACAAAATATTAGCGGAAGCAATAAATAAAAGAATCACCAAGATTCACCAATAACAGGTATAATTATCAC